CTATCCACACCCCTCTTCCGGGGAGCCTGTGCAGCCCGCCACTGCCAGGGACAACTTCCCAGGGAGAACACACGGCGGGCCTCAGGCTGGTGCAACGTCACACCGACATCTGCCGCCGCAGGCCCGCCACGCACGCCGTGCCCCTCCCTCCCCCCGGCCTGAGTGTGCCAGAGCCCCTGAGTCAGTGGCTCCTTTAACCCCAACCTGGCTGAGCAAAAAACAGACGCCCTCCAGAGACCTACACACAGAGGCAAGGCCAAATCGAAAGCTGAGCCCCTGTGAGCTGTGAGAACAAAGAAGAGAAAGGGAAATCTCTCCCAGCAGCCTCAGAAACAGCGGATTAAAGCTACACAATCAACTTGATGTACACCTGCATCTGTGGAATACATGAATAGACAGCGAATCATCCCAAATTGAGGAGGTGGACTTCTAGAGCAAAATCTATGATTTTTTTCCCCTTTTACTCTTTTTGTGAATGTGTATGTGTATGCTTCTGTGTGAGATCCTGTCTGTATAGCTTTGCTTCCACCATTTGTCCTAGCGTTTTATCCGTCCATTGTTTTTTTTTTAATTTTTTTTCTTAATAATTAATTTTAATTTAAATAACTCTATTATACTTTACCTTCTTTCTATCTTTCTTTCCTTCCTTCCCTCCTTTAGACAACGAATCATCCCAAATTGAGGAGGTGGACTTGGAGAGCAAGTTTTATGATTTTTTCCACTTTACCTCTTTTTGTGAGGGTATATGTGTATACTTCTATGTAAGATTTTGTCTGTATAACTTTGCTTCCACCATTTGTCCTAAGGTTCTATCCATCCCTTTTTTTTTCTCTAATTATTTTTTAATTCAATATCTTTATTATACTTTATTTTACTGTACCTTCTTTCTTTCTGTATTTTTTCCTTCCTTCCCTCCTTCCTTCCTTCCTTCCTCCCTCCCTCCCTCCCTCCTTTCTTTCCTTCTTGCCTTCTTCCTTTCTTTTCTTCTTTCTTTCTTTCTTCCTTCCCTCCTTCCTTCCTTCCCTCCTCCTTCCTTCCCTCCTTTCTTTCTTACTTTCTTTCTTCCTACTTCTACTAATTCTCTCTACTTTCTCTCCCTTTTATTCTGAGCCGAGTGGATGAAAGTCTCTTGCTGCTCCAGCCAGGAGTCAGTACTCTGCCTCTGAGGTGGGAGAGCCAACTTCAGGACAGTGGTCAACAAGAGACCTACCAGCCCCACATAATATCAAACAGC